TTTTTTTTTTGCAGAGTATAAGGTCTGTCAATATTCAGTTGTTCCTGCACCATTTGTTGAAAAGACTATCTGTTCTCCATGAAATCCTCTTTTGTCTTTTGTCAGGGATCAGCTGGCCAGATCATGTGGGTCTGTTTCTGGCTATTTCATTCCATTTACCTATTTGCCTGTTCTTTCACTGGCATGACCTGCCTTCATCACGGTAGCTCGGTAGCCTGGCACCACCTCAGGCAGCATCCATTCCCGCCCTGACTTGGTTCTCCTCCTTCGATGGCGTATCGTATTCTGGGTCTCCTGCCTCTCCCTATAAACTTTAGAATCAGTGGATCCACATCCACAAAACACGGTGCTGGGATTTCCACTGGAGTTGTTTAGATCAAGTTGACATCCTGACAATACTGCGTCTTCTCCATGAACATGGGATATCTCCCCGCTTATTCAGGTCTTTGGCTTCCTTCATCAGAGTTGTGTGAGTTTCCTCACATAGATCCTGCAAATATTTTATCAGGTTTATATTTAAGTTTTTCATTTATGGGGTGCTAATGCAAATGGTATTGTTTTTTATTTCAAATTCCACTTGTTCATTGCTGATAATATAAGAAAGCAACTGACTTTTGTATATTAACTTTGTATCCTGCACTCTTAATAGTTACAGGAGTGTTTTTGTCAATTCTTTCAGATTTTCTATGTAAGTAATCAGGTCATCTGTGAACAAAGTTTTAGATGTTCTTTCAGTCTGTGATGTCTCTGTTACAAATACGTTGATGGTTCTTTCAGATTGACTGTAAGTACTCTCAGTGTTTGTCTAAAATTATGTTCATTTTCCTCATATTTTTGCTGGGTATTTTGGGTACAGAATTCTAAGTCAACAGGTGTTTCACAGTATTTGATATTACATCACCATTTTTCTTCTATTATTCCTGGTAGGGGTCATTCAAATTATTTTCCCATTCCAGTTAATCCTGTCTCTTTATTTGACTTTTAGGTCTTCTCTTTCCTTGGTGTTTTATTTCCTTTATGAAATGAGCTTCCTGGGCTTGAACTTGACCACGAACTGCAGGCTTCTCACTGGCCTTGCCTGGGAGTGTGCACTCTGGAGTCAGAGAAGCTCTCCCCAGCGTCCCTGAGAAATCTGTCTCTCCTCTCGGTTCTGTTCTCACACAAGGGTTTCAGACACAAGGGTTTCCGATCAGTTATACGATCGCCATCTCATTCTGAACTCCTGTTCTCTTAAAACTATGTTTTACGCTTCAACCCCTATCACATTATGGGCCACTGCCTCACCTCTATATTCCAGTTCACTAATTCTCTTCTTGGCATCACCTAATTGGTTGTTTTACTCCATCCACTGGGGACTCTTAAAAATTCCAATAGCTAAAATTACATTCTATTCAATAGCTACCTTTTCCTATGGTGTCTGTGTTAGTTATTTTTTTATTATGCTTTAATTAACATAAAACACATTTGTTGCATATTCTGTTTCTAAATGCCATTTTATTTCCTCAAGTTTGGGGGTGGGGGGGCTTATCTTCTGGTTTATGGTATATAGTCACCTCCACGCAGGAGGAATATTCAGGACTAGTTACGTGTACCCTCGCAGCAGGGTTTGGCTCTGGGGCAGCGATGCCACGCCCCTGAGATCCCTCTGGGAGCTTTCGAGAGTGCCGCTCTGCCTGAAGCATCAGACGCCCCCCAGGTGGGCCCAATGCTGACACTAGCTTCTCATTCTGGGTCGCACAGGTACTGCAGGTTTAGATTTGCTTCACTTCCTCCCATTTCTAACATGTTTTGCCCATTTCTCAAATGTCTTTTCCAGTCTCCTTGGTGCCGAGTGCACGTGAAAGACACCTCCCTCCCCTCCATGCCACCTGGAGGCCACAGGACACCAGCCCAGGCATGTAAGCCCTGGGCTCACTCATTCCTCCACCAATAGTCGGCAGTGCGGTTCCTATTTTTCACTTGTCCCTGGAAACTCATTTTCCCTTTTTTATTTATTTTTTTTTGTGTGTTCTTTTTGGCAATTTCACCTATGATTTTTTAAAATTGATTTCAAAGAGGAAGGGAGAGAAAGAGAAAGATAGAAACATCAATTGCCGGGAGCCGGTCCATGCTTGCTGTCTCAAGGGACCTGGCATATATGGCATACTGTTCTTAATATGTTTGCTCACCTTCTTGGCACTATGTGTTTTAACCAAGATCTCTGAGAAAGGTTGTTTCCCCAGGTAGGGATTTTCCCCTGAAGTTAGGGAGGGAATAAAACCTCTTAACTAAGTGCCAGGCGGGTAATTAATCGCTTTAACTATGAACAATCATGCTTAAGCTACATAATCTTTACTCCCTGGAATGGAGATAAGAAACGCCCTAACCTTTGGAATAGAGATTGATAGGATTGGAATCAACTGGTATAAATACAGATGTAAGAAGACAGAACCAGGAGGCACAGAACCTACACAGAACGTTCTCTAGAGACAGAAGAACTTCGCTAGAGAGAACATGGCAAAAGATCCTGGATAGAAACTGGCCTCAGAACCTAGAGACAGAACCTAGCGAGAGAACATGGCAAAAGATCCTGGACTGAACCTGACTACAGAAATTGGCAAGAGAACCTGACTAGAACCTGGTGACTGAACCTGGCTGGAGAACCTGGACAGAACCTGGCTGGAGAACCTAGCGAGGGAACATGGCTACAGAACCTGGCTGGAGAACCTGGAGAACCTAGCAAGAGAACATGGACACAGAACCTGGCTGGAGATCTGAAGCAGAACTTCGCTGGGAATCCAGACCAGAACTTGGCTGGAGATCCTGGCTGGAGATCCTGGCTAGGCTGCTGATCAATTGAACACTGTCTCCGTGTCATTCCTTCTTCGCCGACTCCGTCCACGCCTTTGGGAACCCCTGGACTTGCTGGGGTTGGACCCCGGCAATCAATGATGAGAGAAAATCATTGGTCGGCTGCTGCCTGCATGCCCCCTACTGGGGATTGAGCCTGCAACCGGGCATGTAGCCTGACTGGGAATCGAACCCTGACCTCCTGGCTCATGGGTCGATGCTGAACCACTGAGCCACGCCAGACGGGCCTCCCCTGTGATTTTAAATGTAACGAATTTAGCTTCTCTGACTCCATTTCATATGATTTTAGGTCTGCATCTTGCTGGCTCCAGAACTAGCCCAGAGCTGCCTGTGTGTCCACTTAATTGTAGGGGGAGAGAAACGAACAGCTCTCCTGTGGGGCCATTAGTACTGTTTGGTGCTGTTAGTCACGCACAGTTGAAAGCAATCCTGTCGTACTCTGACTATGTAGATTGGAGGCTAAGAGATTAAAGGAAACACATCACTGTTGTCAACGGAGCAGAGACCCCACCCCTACGAAAGCGGAGCACCCTGTAATGGCTTCAGCCCAAAGGGGAGGGCCTCTGTGCGGAGGGCAAACTGACACTGAGATAATGGCTTAGCAGGGATAGGCAAACTTTTTGACTCGAGGGCCACAATGGGTTCTTAAACTGGACCGGAGGGCCGGAACCAAAGCATGGATGGAGTGTTTGTGTGAACTAATATAAATTCAAAGTAAACATCATTACATAAAAGGGTACGGTCTTTTCTTTTTTTAGTTTTATTCATTTCAAACGGGCCGGATACGGCCCGCGGGCCGTAGTTTGCCCACGACTGGCTTAGAGCCTGCAAATGACCACAACAACCTCTGAGGTTCTCCTCCTGCTTTTACAAACGTCTCTACGTGTGGACAGCGGCTACAGCAGGGGTCCTCAAACTACGGCCCATGGGCCACATGCAAATACAAATATTGTATTTGTTCCCGTTTTGTTTTTTTACTTCAAAGTAAGATATGTGCAGTGTGCATAGGAATTTGTTCATAGTTTTTTTTTTAAACTAGAGTCCGGTCCTCCAACAGTCTGAGGGACAATGAACTGACCCCCTGTTTAAAAAGTTTGAGGACCCCTGGGCTACAGTGTTTGGACAGGTTCAAGCCTCGGACTAATGAGAGGGCACGTTCCCCTCGTGGCAAAGCCACGTGCAAGTCCCAGCTTGGAGGACAAAGTCCTCCCAGCACAATGACAGCCAAAGGCTATGGCTGTGAGCTTGACCTTATGGTCCGAACCCGTGGTCCCAGGAGGCTGAGTGATGTGGGCTTGACAGAGTTCAGGTGCATGTAACTGAGTAGATTCGAAACCTGAGAGAACATTGTAAACATCCTGACCACGCCCTTGCTTTGCCTCGGGGGATCTGACCATAAAATAAAGACCCGGCTTACAGGCTGTGCCAGTGTCTCCTCATCCAGGCAGTGACCCACCTGGTCCAGCTATATTCTCTTGTCTGTTTTCTTTAATCCTTCACCGCCCTCCTCAGGTTTACCCTTGGCCGTGCTGGAGGCGGTTCATCTACATCATCAGAAACACCATCAACCAAAAGTATTTTGATTGAATAAGAAATAGAAGAAAGACAGAAGTCGAGAGAGATATACATGTAACTTAATCATATATTTTGACCCCAGTACAAAGCACCATGTGTCCCTAGACCCCTAGCTCTTGGGGAAAAAGATTACTATCTTCATGGCAGGACACCTTCCCCATCCCATGTGCATTCCCAGCGGGAGAGCCTTCTCTGGGGCACTCACTGAATGCACCACCTCAAGTTCCATCAAACACTCCCCTCCTGCGACGGCACCTCCTGCGACGTAGGCCCATCGTGAACGACATGGGGGCATGGAGAGCCCTTCTCTGTGGAGACTCCACCACCCAACGCGCTTTGCTGGGTTCAGGTGTCCTCAAACTACGGCCCGCGGGCCACATGCAAATACAAATACTGTATTTGTTCCCGTTTTGTTTTTTTTTACTTCAAAATAAGATATGTGCAGTGTGCATAGGAATTTGTTCATAGTTTTTTTTTAAACGATAGTCCGGCCCTCCAGCGGTCTGAGGGACAGTGAACGGGCCCCCTGTTTAAAAAGTTTGAGGACCCCTGTGCCTAAACAGTCACATAGTTACCTGGTCTGCCCACTGTCCGCGCAGCGCCCTCTCTGTCGTCGTGCAGAATGACGGCCAGGCCCGCGGAGTCGGTGGGGAGCACGGAGCTGCTGAAGTCCACGCGGGTCAGGCTCTCGGGCTCCCTTGCGAAGGCCCCCGCAGTGCCTGGGGGACGGTCCCCGCCGGCGGCCATCGCGGGGCCTTCTCTCCCGGGTCTCAGCACCACGTGGACGATGCTCTGCTGGCCCAGGTCGCAGCTCTGCGGGAACAGAGAGAAACACACAGATGCTAGTCTAGCGTGCACACGCTGGTGGGTGAAGTCGCCTGAGTTCCAGGACGGGTGCAAGACTAAACTCTGCTTCTGTGGATGTCGGCTTGCAGTCATGGGACATAAGGAGGGGACGTGGGATAGGCGTGTGAGGGGTAAGGTGGCACCCGTCCCCCGCCAAGGGCACCGCGCTTACATGTGTGCCTGTCCCGCCAGACAGGGAAATGGGGGGGTGGGTGAATGAAAGGCAGCCACAAAAAACCAAAGTACTGTCCAAAGGGACATAAACTGTGGTAGACAAAGAGGTGCCCTGCATGCCCAGCCTACTCAGGACAGTGAGAGGCGATGCTGCTTAAAACTGGTGACTTCAGAAGCGGCGTGCCCTTAGATTCTAAGGCTTAGAGGCATCACTTCATTCGTTCATTCATTCATTCATTGATTCATACACGTTTTTATTGATTTTTAGATAGAGGAAGGGAGAGACAGAAACATCAATGATTCATTGATTGGCTGCCTCCTGCACGCCCCCTACTGGGAATCCAGCCCACAACCTGGGCAGGTACCCTAACCAGGAATCTAAACCCAGACCCCTTGGTTCATGGATGATGCACAACCCATTGAGCCACACCAGCCAGGCGGATGGCCCACTTTAAGGCTGGCTTTCATCTCCGCTTTCGGAAGCAGAGAGACCTGGTTATTATCAAGTCCAGGGCACTTTCTCTGGAATTCAAGATCAATGTGTTTATGGAGGACACCACATACACCCCAAACACATCGCCACCCCAAGGGGGACCCCAAGAGTCACACCTGCTCCATCTGCTTTCACAGTAAAAGGCGAGACTATTCACAAAGATGCTCTCTCTGTGGATATGGATGTGTATGAACAGGAGATGGTAAAATTTGGTGGAATTAAAATTAGAAGTCAGATTTGCTAGGGCAGAAACTAGACTACTTTCCATGAAACCATGAAACCGCAATTTCAGAACATCTACCAGACAGACACTGTCAGGCAGCTGTCTGCCCCCCGCCCCCCGCCCCCTCCCCACCACCCCACTTCCCACAGAGCGAGGGCCTCGCTCTCCACAAACCCCAACCCCAATGTCTTCAAAATGCCTGTTGACATTCTCACTTTAGGAATGCTCAGAGAACGCCCAGGCAGAACACAACGATAATTTTAAAGTAATAACTCCTGTCCCCGCGCATCCCCAGCCTGCACCCCCACTCTGCACTGTGAGACTTAGGGGGTGCCGTCCCTCCGAGGCTTTGCTTGCTGTCTGTCTTGTCCGTTCTGGGAGGTCCTGGGGTGCTCTGGTCCTAAACACCAGGCCCACCATTGGGTTTCCCGGGCCAGAGACTGGAGAACAAGGCTGACAACCCCTGCCTGCCCACCCCCCGTCTTGGACGCGGAAAGACAAGGTGGATGCCGGCTGAGGAGTTAGTTACGGAGCCGGAATGCAGAGAGGAAGGCTGGCGGTGAAGGTGTGCCCACCGGGACAGGGAACCCCTACCTGCTGCCAGAGGGGCAGGGCCTGGCCCAGGGGCCAGCTCCAGGGCCTGGATTCTCAGCAAGCAGCCAGCTCTGCCCCGAGGAGCTCAGGTGGCACCTGCCTCTTCCTTTCCCACCCAGGCTCAAGGCCTCAGTCCCAGACCCGGTGGACATGGTCACCTCCAGGCTGTCTGTTCCCCTGGGTGGTGGTACAGTCCTAAAGTGACCCACCAATGACCTGCTTAATTAACCCCTCCCGTGGAGGGTGGGAGAGGCTGCCTAGATTATGTTAATCAACTTGAAAGAATTGATCATCTCATCAGGCAAATCTTGGGGTAATGGTGGACCCTTAAAAGTTTCAAGAGTTCTTCCTGGTGAAAATATTGGAATCATGAGAGGGACTGTGCAGGAAAGTGTGGACGAAAGGGGCCACATGCTAACCTGACAGCTCAGGAGAGGCCTGCATGGCGGTCTTGCAAACTCAGACCTAAAGTCACCACAAAGGATGGCCTGAAATTAAAGTTTAACTAAAGCAGTGATGGTGGGCAGTTACGTCCTAGGCTGGTATCTTCACTGACAAGGTCAACCTTTACCTTAACTGAGCTGTCTTTCTGCATCTATGATAACATACCCTTGAAATGTCTGGGAACCTGTAACTTCCCTGGAGCCCCTGGGGCACAACCTAATGTTAATTGATCCTGCGCCCACCTAAGTGTGTGTCCATCATGTTACTTTATATCCAATCCCAGGGGTTCCTTGCCCACCCCACTTTGCTCTCTCCCGCCTCTCTAGCCTGTCACCAATGGATCTCATGTCACCCACCTCCCTCCCTTTCCTTTGATTGCAATGAATACAGATGTAACCCGCCATTCTCCGGAGCATTATCTCAATTCGCTGAGGTTCGGCTTCCCCGCATATGTCGACAATTTCGCTCAAATGAACTCACAAAAATTCTTTACAGGTTTCAATGGTTAGCAAAAGGGATCTCCAAGGCTGCTGTGAACATGGGGGCGGGAAGCCTGAGGGGCAGGGGGCCTGGGGGTCGGGGAGCCGCTGAGAGCCCCAGGGGCCTAGCAACAACCATCCATTGCAGGGTGGGACTTCGCCCCAGGGTGACCTTCCTCCCCGCATACGCTGGGCAGGAGGTTTGGACCCCTGACCTTTCCCCCCTAGAGGTAACATCTGGCCTCAGTTGTATTTCAGCTCCAGGCCCAGAGAAGCAACAGAACCAGCCGAGCAACTCCACTGCTGACATCAGGACCAGCTGCAGGGAATAATGACCCCCTGCCCTGCCCTGGTGCCGCCAATCAATCAGGGGGGACCCCAACCTTGAGAGGACACACCTGGAAAGCTGCTGCATATTCTTCTGAGACCTTCCCGGGACCTCCCCTAACCTCTTCCCTTAGACCCTTAGGATGGGGGAGCCCCACCCCCCTCCCCCCAGGCACATGACCATTAGCTCCGGCCTCCCAAGCTCCAGGGCCTTCCTCTCCCTCCACCCTCCTTCCCTCCGACCAGTCCCTCTAGGAACCGCTTCTTCTGCCTGTGATTTCCCAGTAACGTCCTCACAGTGTGGGCCTTGGCTGACTTCCTTCCCACCGGAACCCAAGTACCGAGGGTGCTGGGCCCAGGGTTGCCCGGACCCCACGGGTCAGACACCCGGTGCTATTCCCGCCGCTGCCAACAACAAACCCGCGCAAAGACCACCCACCCCACACCAGGTGGTCGCCAACCCAGGACGTCCCCGGGGTGCCGCCCTCCCAGGCCCTTCCTTCCACCTCCTGCTGCCGATGCTGCGGAGGGAGCCCAGGCCCCAGGCTGGAGGCGGAGGCCGCGGTCGGGCTGCATCGGGCACTACGGGGACTTACGGAGCGGAGCGTCTCGGGCTGTGGACGTGCATGTGCTCCCAGCAGAGGCAGGAGTAGGGGGTCTGTTCTACAGACAGGGAGACGCGTGAGCCCCCCTGGGCGGGGCCGGCAGGACAGCCCCTGGGGCCCAGGGAGGGGAGCGGGCCCTGAGGGGAGCGGGCAGGCTGTCTGCTCAGCCCCATCCAGCTGGCTCAGGCAGCAGCTTCCCCCTCGGGGGCGTCTCCCTCCTCCTCCCCTGCCACGTGGACCAGCTCGCTCTTCTGGCCTCCTGCGGGGGGCACTGGTTGGTGGGTCCTCCATGGGCCCCTCAGCCCCCACTTGACTCCCCACCATGCCCCCTCGGAGGGCCCACCTGGTTTGGCTTGGACTCCTCCCCGCTGCCACGTGCACCCAGGTGCCCCAGTGACCCATCCTGATGGGAGTCCCCCTCCCGTGTTCAGTTCTTCCAGCCCCACTGTCCCTCCCCCGGCCCGAGCAAGAGCCTTGGAATCTCCCACCTCCGCCATCTCACCTGAGGGCACAAGCTCCGCCCACACACAAGCTCCGCCCACACGTACAAGCACCGCCCATGTGAACAGGAACCGCCCACGTGTACAAGCTCCGCCCATGTGCACAAGCTCCGCCCACTCACAAGCTCCGCCCACATGTACAAGCACCGCCCATGTGCACAAGCTCCGCCCACACACAAGCTCCGCCCACATGCACAAGCACCGCCCACGTGAACAGGAACCGCCCACGTGTACAAGAACACATGGCGCTGCAGAACCTTCGCAAATGCCTCGCATCACCTGCTGCACGGCCGCCCTTCCTGACCAGCGGCCTCCGTCTCTTTCCTCTCCCTCATGTGCACGCGGACCACAGGGCTCTCCGAAAGCGTGTGCTTTCTCTGCCGCCTGCCCTTGGCTAGGTCAGCACGTGACTGAACCGGGGCCTTAAAGTGAACTTGCGCCACTACCCGGCCTTCCAAAGAGCACCAGGCGCGGCTGGTGTGGTTCAGTGGTTGGGCAATGGCCCATAAGCCAGGAGGTCCTGGTCAGGGCACATGCCTGGCTTGGCCTCCACTGGGGGGCATGCAGGATGATGTTCCTCTCTCATCATTGATGTCTCTATCTCTCTCTCCCTCTCCCTCCAACAATCCCTGCCTCTCTCTTTAAAAATCAATAAAAAACATTTAAAAAGAGCAGCCCAGCTGGTCTCCGCCTCCTCAGCCTGGGCCCGGCCCTGCGCACAGGACAGCCCTGAGCCCAGACACCGGTGGACGCGTGCAGCTGCGCCCACAGCTGGCGGCGGGGGGCCACACCCCCTGGGGAGACGCCTGTGGACGGCCGCAGGCTCTGAGGTGCTGCGGCTGTTGGGTCAGCAGTGATAGCGGACGGCACTCCGTTTCCCACTCCAGCTGGACTAGCATTCATGCCATCATGGTTTCTCGTCATGTCAGCGTTCAGCAGCCCTGTACCCGGCCGGCCTTCAGCCCAAGTCCCCCCAACAGCCAGTGCCAGGCTGAGTCCACTCCAGGGGGCGCGCACGTGGGCCGGGCAACAGCTTGGAGACACGGCTGGGAGTGCCATCCTCACAGCCGGGTTCCTTTCGAGGGGGCTCGGGAGTTCCGTCAGATAAGGCTCCTCTCTGCTCAGGGC